CATTTACCCTAGCGTCTGACACCTCATCTCTTTGGTCATTATCTAGACCTCCACTTTAAAGCGTTGATTCCGCAGTCGGAATTGTCCGACTGGAGGACATTATCAATATATGTGAAAAACATTTGGTTTTATATCCGTATATCCGGAATACGCTTTGAATTTAGTATTTTCTGAATGAGATAAGATACTCATACATATATACAGGTACAATGCATATGACCTACATTCTATCATTATATGACCTACATTCTATCATTATTGCAGATGTACAATGCATATGACCTACATTCTATCATTATATGACCTACATTTTATCATTATATGACCTAAATTCTATCATTATATGACCTACATTCTATCATTGTTGCAGATGTACGAAAAAGAGGGGGAAATTAAAGAAAAAAGTAAGACTAAGAAAAACAGATTCATGGTCAAAATGCGACGAAAACTGAAAGTAGTCCACAAAACTTTACTAAAACACTTAAGATTAAGCAACACGAACGCCACAATACCATGGGTGAGCCTGAGTCAATTCCGGTGCTTTGGAAGGGTAAACAGTTCTTGTTCAACTAGTGGCTGGCTTGGTGTTGTTCTTTGCAAGTAAATTAGAATGTAAGTAACCCGTTAACACTATGATAGAATTTGACAATTTCTTCTATGACATGAATAAAATCATATCAATAGTCGTTTAAGTTAATACCAAATCATGTTTTCCCAACCTTTCTCTTTGATATATATTGCATTACGGAACCGGTTTTGTATTAAGTCCTTCATGTATCAAGTCGTAAAGCTCCATTGAAGCTAAACCTTTACTTTGAAAAATTCTATTAGTATTTAACCAACAGATATATCTAACTAAGTAAATCATATTAGATGTTAACAACAAAATGTTTTCGTGACTTTTTACCCTTCAAATACTGGACCCGGGTAAGTATCATTGCACAAAATCATAAAACCACGCTACAATGACCATTTATATTTTATGGTTCTAATTCGCCTTCATTTAGAAGAGCGATTTACTGTTTCCGCTGTCAATAGCGGAATAAAATCAATCAGATATTTTGAATAATTCCTGTAATAGATTATTTCTCTGATGTATTTATTGTTGTGTTTATTTGTTTTGTGTGGCGAAATGGCAAGATTTATGTCCCTTTAATAACAAGACTGGAATAACGTTGATTAACAGACAACAGACTTAAATCATCCCAATAGAATCAATTATAGCTCACAGTTCATTGTTAAAGGCGGTGCTTGTTTAAGGCTGTGTATGTTAAAGGTTGCGCAGTGTCAAATCAGATCCGTTTAATAGAAACATTTCTCGTATCGTAGCTAGAAAAAAAGAACATTCGAAAATACCAGGCAGGCAGTTAAAATTAATACACCCACACACAAATGTTGGATCATCTAGGAATTTAAAGGGGAAATATACTATATCTTTTATCAAGAATAAAAAGCGAGTTGAAGATACATTCCAAGGATGTATGAGAATGCTTGAATGGGTGATAGACACCATAAAAACAATATAATTTGGAAGAGATGTGGGAAAAGTGTTTGCCTTGGATTAAAAAGAAAAATAAAAGTGCACAATACAATTCAGATAGATTTATTGGTCTCCAGATCATATTACAGGAATAGATGTGCACTGGACCCAATACCCAACAATTTTTAGATATGAAAAAGTCTATGTTGTGCTTTTGGAAAACCTGTCAAAATCATTTGTAGAAAAGGTCCGGGAACACAGTTATCGGCCTTTGATTTTCGAATAGAGTCCCTATTGTGGACAGTGTATAACTTGCAAATTTTTTGCATACACCTTCCAAATTTATTTCTTTATATTTTATGCAAGGGGATGAAATTGCATGTAAAAAATTTGGGGCATGAATTTTTAGTTAAAGTAGTGATTTGGTCAAGTTTGAAAAAATCAAAAGTTAGCATGTCTGAAGCTGTCAAACTGAATTATAGACCCCCTTAACATAACATTGTCTATATTTTGAGTTAGAGCCGATAGCCTTTTCTATAATTTTGATATAATTTGTCTCAAAAGTAGTACATTTATTTCGGATAGAGCAGGTGCTTTTTTCCAAAAGTATTGTAGTAAATACATGCGCGCTTTGACATTTTAAAAAACAAACGGTCGGAATTCAACTGAAATCTATTCATTTATGCAAGAGGAGTCGATACCCTTGAAAACGTTGCGATTAATTTTGTTATCAAAATAATACGTCTATCTGACGGATTCCATGTAGTCTGAATAAAAACATTGAAAGTAAATTATCCGATTGAAGATCAGCATAAGTACATGTAAATTGAATATAGAAAGAGTAATCGTCAAATCAATTGAAAACTGTTCTAAACTTGCACAATAGAATGATTGGAAAACATTCACCCACTAGTGTTAATCTACAACAATAACGTTCTAATAATACTACACATGTTTGACTTTGCAGTTTTTTCTCCGCCATGTTCGATGCCTCAAATGGGTGAACCTTGGGAGCATTTTTTTGGTCTTTTTCTTTTTTAGCCATTGCGTTGTCAGTTTATTTCGACTTATGCGTTTGAATGTCCCTTTGGTATCTTTCGCCCCTCTTCTTCTAGTATTAGAGGTCGGTCATTTAAAAACGTATCAACCGTATCATATACGTTGACGTATACGCATCTGCAGATATACCAAAAACTATTAAGTGATCCCGAGCTTAAGGCTATTATACGTTTCCCCTCTGTCCCTCTGGTATCTTTCGCCCCTCTTTTCCAACAATTAAGTCAGCTACACAATTAAATACTAGCATTAGAAATTAATCAGTTGCCCATCTGCATTATTGAAAGTATAAACAATTAAAGCTCGGGATCAAATAATGTTTTTTGGTAAATCTGCAGATGCGTATACGTCAAAGTATGTGATACGGTTGATACGTCTTTAAATGACCGACCTCTATTAGAACAAACATTTTGCATGTTTGTCTCAGGTTAACAGGACAATACAGATATTGTTGATTAGAATGTTGATTGAACGAGAACTCTATTCCCTAATTACTTTGACATAGTTGGACAACTTCCTACTTTATTTGATCTTTTATTTTTGATTGACGTGTCACTGATGAGTCTTGGTATCTATGATGATTTATTGGACACTTATTGTAAAAGGTATAGCATATTAACTTTTATTCAGTTTGTGAGTCAATCGCCCCTGTAAATGCCTCAAAGTTTGTAATTTAATCGCCCCTGAGGTATAAAACTGTCATATTGTAATGTTTATGTTAATATCTTCAAAATAAAATATTGTTTACACTAAACCTTTTTTCTCTCTTTAAAATTCAACCTTTTTGTAACCTCAACACTCGCAGTGAAATCGATTTTGTTTACAAAGGTTAAATGTAGTTCCTATCAAAGTATGAACCATTAAAAAATTTTAACGGGTTATCGCATTCGATTGATTGGTGTTTAACACCACTTGCATCACTGTTGGCTATTTCGTGGTGGTAAGTTTTTATTGGTGGAGGAAGCCGAAATGTCCTGAGAGACGGAAGGAAGACGGACAACCCTAGTCAAACAAAATTGGAATCGAACGCACCTACCACGTGCAGGACTAAAACGCACAACTTCAGTGTTGACAGGCTAGTGATACAGTAGTTGGACCATCATTTTCAAGAACTCGTACTTATGGAAATCATATCATTGTAAACAGAAAAAAAAACCATTTCAGAAGACAAAATTAGAACGGAACTTTTGTAAATTTTCATAATACCGGTGTATGTTTTTCTAGATCCACTTGCGTCAGGAAGAAACGACTGCGAATGGGGCGCAATACACCTATAAAGGTTCAATGTGATTTACATCAATATGGCCCAAGAAAAAAGACTTAAAGATTAAATGAAAAAAAACTTTACAGAGAAACCTACAAAAACTCAATCAAAATCATAAGGTGAACCCAGTTGATGCAGAAGGGTAAATAGTTACTGACCAGTTTGTCATACCAGGATCTAGTACAGCTAACTATACGGTAACTGTTATGGGTAATTCTAATAATTAACCCCCGGACGGTGACCTGTAGCTGTTTTTATCCTCATAATTTAGTCTCTAGTGGAAAGTTGTCTCATTGCCACCCATCCTCATTTTTATATTCAATAAAGAAAACCCGTCATGAAAGAATACTTTGTCAAAGTCACAGCCATAGGTGTCATAAATGGCAAATATAGAATTGTACATATTAAGTTACCAAATTGACTTAATTTTTGTTACTTTATTACTTCCTAGGTCAGGGGCGAGTCCAGCCATTTTTAAAAGGGGGGGGGGGGGGGGGGGTTCTAAACCCAGGATTAAGGGGGGAGGGGTGTTCCAACTATATGTCCCCATTCAAATGCATTGATCGTCAAAAAAAGGGGGGCTCCCTCGGACCCCCCCTTTGGATCCGCAACTGGAGGTGAATTTCGTGAACTATGATAAAAAAAAGAGGACACTAAGTCCCTCGTGCTGACCCATTAGGATAGACATGCCTGTTCATTTCTTTCATCATAAAACTAGCACGTTTTGATTAACGGGGACAATTTGGTAATCCCTTGTAGTCAGTGAATATATTTCAAAATATCAGAGGTAAAACTTCAGTGTACAACAGCCCTTTCCAAGGTTAGGGTAGGGTTGGGCGCCCGTAAACATATTGAACATCGACATATTCTGTAATTGCTTTAATTCAGTGGTTGTCGTTTGTTGCTGTATGTTCTATTTTATTTTTTCTTTGTTATTTTCTACATAAACTAGTCCTTTGGTTTTTTCTCATTTGAATTGTATTACATTTTGTCATATTGGGGCCTTTTATAGCTTGCTATGCGGTATGCGTTTTGCTCATTGTTGAAGGCCTATAGTTGCACACTTCTACGTCATTTTTGTCTCCAAAGGATAGTTGTCTCATTGCTAATCATACTATATCTCCATATTATATATTTGTAGATAGAAATGACAAAAATCAACATGAGCTACTAGTATAAAGTAAATAAATAAATTTTTAAATCATAAGATCTTTCTTTTATTATTTATCTTCTGTTCAGTATTTCTAAACCTTGCACACTATAAACTTGTGGGTGTGATCGTAGAAGTAAGACCACATTCGTCGTAGACTATTTCGTATGTACGGCATTGAACATCTTTTTGCATAAATGTTGAATTTCCGGTCCATGTCGTTGTATCCTGGGACGTACCAACCACTCCAGTTACCATTAAACCATTGAATTTTGTATGCAGCAATCTTCCCCCCAGCTGCAACTTGATCCACTTGCATGTTCAGTCCCGCAGGCCATCTACAGTCCCTTGTTGGTCCTCGCGTGATCTCAGTACATTTCGCCTGAAACAAAATAAGTTTCTACAGATTACAAGAAGAGCATTACACAGATATGCATCATAAAAAAAAAACGATATTAAGAACTGTAACTGTATTTTTAATTCATTTCTACACATTGTTCTCAATTGTTACATTTGAAATGCCTCTTTTAACACGAGGGATGCTGAAATAGACCCTGAACAACGGATTATCTCGACAAATATAAAACTAACATGTACTTTAAAAGAAACATTCGAAGATTACAAATAAGGCAAGTCTTCACAATAAAAATATAGAATTTCAAATACACCTCAGGTAAAAAAATGCTTGAATAATCATTATTCGTAGTATATTACTTTCGTAAGATTTGCATGACAGGTGACTCATGCATAGCAGGAGACGCTTACTCTGTCGTCGATGCACCTGGTCATGTGATTCCCACAGTTTCTGTTGATTACCTTGATTTTTCACTTCTTGATCGATTAACGAGATTTGGATATCGATAAGATACTGTCGCCTAAATGTTTACATTTCAACGTCCATTTTATTCAAATATTTTATACAAGATGTCAAATACTTGCATCCGAAAAGTGGCACTCTCAGGAATTGTCTACCATCCGAAAAGTGGCACACTCAGTATGGTCGTCCATCCGAAAAGTGGCACACTCAGGAATGGTCGTCAATTTTTTCCATAGTTTCATAATCGATTGTAAAGTGCGTCAGTTATGAACATGTAGTTATCTCTTATTTAAGAAGCAAAAAACGTTTATAAAAATATAATTTGAAAAATTAAGAAATGAAGGTTCCAACTCAGTTAGGCAAGGTTTACCATACATGAATTTGGTTATCATATTAAAGTTCATTTTGATCATATTTCTACTAACATTTCTAAGTGATAACCCTGGTTTTCAAATGTTTAGGTAAATCCAAAAAAAGTGCATCGGATTCACGTAATTTATGAAATGATTATTTCATATACACTTTAATAGGATATTGATAAAACATACCTGTGCAGAGGTGTCGTAAATAATTCCGTCACTCAATCCATACGTAATACCAACAAACAAACCAATCAGTGCTGTTAAACTCAATATTGACATAGTTATTCTTCACAGTTCTTCAATAATGAAAAAAACTTATATGTAATATCAAAATTGCTATAAGGATATATGCTATATATAAACGAGGATACTGATTTCCCATATTGCCTAAGGTAGAATTTGAATATTATTTTTCCCAATTACAGACATTGTTCAAAATTGTAGTTTTATTTCCAGGTTTGCTGTCATGCTAAAATGATTAAAAACTTCGCCAGTACAAAGCAAAACAATATGAAACTTTGAAATTTTTCGATATACTAAGGATTTTTATATCCCAGGAATAGTTTCCCTTAGATGTATTTGCCAAAACCTTTCCGTACTTTGGGTCCTTAATGCCTTCAACTTTGTACATTATTTGACCCTTTTTTGCTTTTTTATTTGAGCGCCAATGATGAGTCTTTGGTAGACGATACGCGCGTCTGGCTGACATTGATTATCCTGGTATCTATGATGAACGCGCGTCATCATATTTTTGGTTTGTATAAACTGACCGATACACAACGCGTTATATTGAAATTAAATGCTCCAAACATCTGTCGGGGAATGATACACAATGCTTTATACTGAAATTATATGCCTCAAAAATTTGTCGGAAAATGATAAACAATGCGTTATATTGAAATTAAATGCTCCAAAAATTTGTCGGGGAATGATACACAATGCGTTATATTGAAATTAAATGCTCCAAACATCTGTCGGGGAATGATACACAATGCGTTATATTGAAATCAAATGTTCCAAAAATTTGTCGGGGAATGATACACAATGCGTAATATTGAAATTAAATACCCCAAAAATTTGTCGGGGAATGAAACACAATGCGTTATACTGAAATTAAATGCCCAAAAAATTTGTCGGGGAATGATACACAATGCGTTATATTTAAATTAAATGCTCCAAAAAATTGTCGGGGAATGATACACAATGCGTTATATTGAAATTAAATGCTCCAAACATTTGTCGGGGAATGATACACGGTGCGTTATATTGAAATTAAATGCTCCAAATATTTGTCGGGGAATGATACACAATGCGTTATACTGAATTAAATGCCCCAAAAATTTGTCGGGGAATGATACACAATGCGTTATATTGAAATTAAATGCCCCAAAAATTTGTCGGTGAATGATTCACAATGCGTTATATTGAAATTAAATGCCCCAAAAATTTGTCGGGGAATGATACCCAATGCGTAATATTGAAATTAAATGCCCCAAAAATTTGTCTGGGAATGATACACAATGCGTGATATTGAAATTAAATGCTCCAAACCTATGCAATGAGTTACGTTCTTTAAGAAAAGAAAAGCAACACTAAACCTTAGAACGGTATTCATTTGAACGGTCAATTTAATATACAGTTCTGGTACCCCTTCCAAGAAATTGTAGCTGAGAAACGCCCTTTCGTTTGAAAAACCATCGAACATCTATAAGTCTATAGTATAACAATTAAAATGCAACAACGACGTATGATTTTCTAAACCAAACATGTAAAGTGATGCATATAAAAATTTACATAATATAGCATTTATGGCTCATTACGACAAACATATCTCTACTTACATTTAAAACCGTCCCAAAAGTATAGCTGATATAAACTAAGCAAATGCTTTCAACCTCCTAAACTTTAACGAATACTGTCACGCTTGTAGAAGTGATTTGGCTACTTTATACTTTGAAGATTGTTTTGAACGTTGTAATACATACACAGATTGAGGAAGATTGAGAAAGAAGGATGCAATAGCGTTTTGATTTCATTGGCTATACAAGAAGGATGTAATGCTCAATTTACGAAAAAAATAAAATCAAATCAATAGAAATGTGTAAGCAACATATGGCAACCACCACGGAAAACTACATGTATGTACTTTTGATTTAAAAAAAAGTTCTTTTAGCTAAAAAAGTTAAAATAAATTATCATGTAAAGTAACATTTCTTATTGATTATGATTGTATAAGAAGTTAGTTGTATTCGAGATTGTATTGTGTATTGAAAGAATGTAGAATTTTTAGTTCAGAGTAAACAAATATAAATAAACAGTTAAAATGCAACTGCGACGTGCAATTTACCAACCAGTAAAGTTAAGTGCCGTAAAAGTAAATAACTTAACATACTATTTTCAGAATTGGGTTTCTGGGTTGTATGGTCTGTTGTTTGACTGTTATGGTTGGACTTAACCAACAGCACACCTTACGGACTTAGGGGGATGAGTAAGGGCCTGAAAACAGTTATAACAAACACAATGAAGTAGATTTTAGAACTTGTATCTTCAAAAGCGCATGAGAAAGTCAATATAATTAATAACAATGTAATAGTATATAATGCAAATAATAGAAACATATAATTCATATAATTTTACAATATAATTGATCAATTAATTTCTTTGGTATTCAAACTTTACGTTAATGCACGAGCATATGCATTTTAACTGACAAACACGGATGCTTATAATATTTCTTATAAATAAAAGCTTATTTAGCATTCAAAATATATGAGCAAGATGCGGACTAAATCTCAAATGTATGAGCATAATGCAAGACCTAATATTTGAACCTAACGGAGCATAAAGCATGTGCTGAACAGCATAAAGTATTGAATGCATAATATCTTAACAATGGACATGAATAAACATGTTGAATTCTTTTACCTTTCGAATTATAAACATGGTAGAGCATATATTGCGCTTGTAAAAACTTAAACTATATAAAAACCTATTAACCCAAAAATAATCAATTCCGACGATGAGCATTGGTTGAGAAATATTCGAAATCGAGACAAACTTAGCATTACGAAACTAATCGTGAATATTCAAATAATATAAATATTAAACAAAATAATATGAAATGGGGAAACTAGCTTTTAAAATATATATGCTTGCTTTGTATCAAAAATTCATGACTCGTAATAATATAGGGCTAAACAACAAGAATAGTTTACGATAAATAATTACTTATTAAATTAACCTTCACATGTGAAAATTACGCATAACGCGTTTATTAACATAATCAACATCTTATCCTTGCGGAACTGACCTTAATTCTTATTAAGTATGAACAAGCGATAAGTTAAAATGATCATTTGCAACATGCGAGCGTAAAACTAAATTCTATAACGCGTTTAAAAATACCCTTGAGTACAGAAAGTTTGTGAAAAATTAACCAACCTTTTTTTGAACATATATACATCTATTTACACTGATCGAGAAACAACAATTTGATCTTAACTTCTTTACTTGCAGAACTCATGGATATTTAACTTCAACTTTACTAAATGAAATGGAAACGAAACTTTACGAAGTTTCAATGATTCAATTGAATAAAATAATGAAAGGAACATATTAACTTTGAATAATTAAAATACTTGACTCACCTGAAAACAGTTATAACAAACACAGTGAAGTAGGTTTTAGAACTTGTACATGTATCTTCAAAAGCGCATGAGAAAGTGCCACTTTTGAGACCGAAATTCACTTGTTCGATTTTGCGTTGCTGTTTCAGGTTCGACCAATCAGATTCGTTAAACACCCGAGCCAACTTAGTTACCCTGATATTTTGGGGTAAAAAGGGGCGTGGAAAGATCTTTGCTGGACAGGACAAAGAACCCTAATAGACATATGTTGTTTACACAACAACTTGTTTGTGTTTAAAGGACAATAGACTTAGTAAAAAACATGTCTAATTGTGTCCACTTAGCTTGTCGCTAAACATCTTAAATTGATAAAAATAATGCCTAACAAAGAGAAAATCTAAAGTGACAAATGCCAAAGTAAATATCTGTTAAATTTGAACTTCTTATCTTAAATATATCGAGAATATAAAAATGATTTCCTTCAACAATAATGAACGAATATAAAACAAAAATACTTTTAATCAATACTGCAGCTTCGAAATGGACTTTAAATAAATAAAATATCTTAAACTTATTCCTTTTTGCTGAAAACTAAATTTTCACAAAAATATAAAATGAGGTATAAAATGACTCTATGACACTATGACATACAGATTAGCTCCACTGATGAGTCTTATGTGGACGAAATGTGTGTCTGGCTTACCAAGTTATAATTTTGTTATCGTTGAGTCGTTTTCACTGACATGTAAACCGTTCCCAAAAGTCTAAGTTAAACTGACAACGCCATGGCAAATAACGAAAAACAACGGGATGACAAACAACGGTCTACAGAACATAACTGGAAAACTAAAGACTGAGCAACACTCAATCCACTTAAAACCAAAGTACCTTATACAAACCAAAGTACCTTATACAAACCAAAGTACCTTATACAAACCGAATTACCTTATACAAACCGAAGTACCTTATACAAACCGAAGTACCTTATACAAACCAAAGTACCTTATACAAACCGAAGTACCTTATACAAACCAAAGTACCTTATACAAACCAAAGTACCTTATACAAACCAAAGTACCTTATAAAAACCGAAGGAAGCACTCTAAATCTCCTACATTTATTTAGTACTTCAAAAATGATGAAGCTTCTAGAAATACAATGGCTTATTATATACTTCGAAGAAAATATTTTGTATTTATCTTATTGTTATAACATGTATAAAGAAACGATTAAGTTGGCTTTGCAAGTAAAATACAATACATTTGTATAATCTATCAAATATGATATCCAAGTAAAATATGTTAGTAACATATTGTCATTCTGACATCTTGAAAGCGGACCTAAATGAGATCACTGTATTTCCGTACACTAACTATCAAATAACATATTTCATTCATTTTTACACAAGTGTTGCCAGCAATGAAATTTCAATCATTATGGATACCGTTTCTTTAGGAAGGCAGTAGCATACCAATGATAAACTAGAAAAGGCTCCAATATGCAAAACAAATGTACATGAGAAAATATGTGTATGCTTCTTATGTTTAGATATGTGAATTTGTCTCAACCCTATCCAGGACGCAAACAGGCTGTAATATAATGTTATGACTTTAGAATTTTTTCTAAACAGACCAATTAACAAATCTGGGACCCACGAAGCGAGTGTCCGTACGGACTCCCTAACATATTATTGTCGTCTGTGCGTATAATATATATAATTTTTCGAAATACTAAGGTTTTCTACTCCACGAACATTAGCTGTATTTGGCAAAACCTTTCGGAGTTGTGGGTCTTCAATGCTCTTCAACTTCGTCTTTTATTTGGCCGTTTTAACGTTTTAACTCAAGCGTCACTGATGAGTCTTTTGCAGATGAAAACCATGTCTGGCGTACACAACTGTAAGCCTGGAATCTAGCCAGAGTCAAATGGAAACTATAAATATTTCGAATCCGTGTGAAGTCACCTACAATATGAACCAGAAGAGATATTTTGTTACCCGGTAGTAGCAAATTATCGATATCATACATTGTAGTTTATTCATATTGACGGTCGTGTTTACCAAAACACTTTGTTTTACAGTTTTCTCTCGTTTTCATTTTGATATGATCATCTATATAAACTCATCATAGATGATCATGTCAAAATGAAAACGAGAGAAACCTGTAAAACAAAGTGTTTTGGTAAACACGACCGTCAATATGAATAAACTACAATGTATGATATCGATAATTTGCTACTACCGGGTAACAAAATACCTCTTCTGGTTCATATTGTAGGTGACTTCACACGGATTCGAAATATTTATAGTTTCCATTTGACTCTTGCCAAGGTCAAAGATCAATAATCTCTAACAAAAAGACCCAAAGTGTCTTATTCTTACGGTTAAGAAGCTCACCTACCAAACACCTTATTTTGAATATTAAGGGATGAAAACTTCTTAAAAAGTTACCAGAGGACTTAAACCGAATACTTTGGCGTTTCGTCAAGTCTTACCTTGCAATTATGCCGATATATTTTACGGTTTCTGCGGAGTTGTAAGAGGCATTGTTCAAAATTTGGAATATGATCTTGACATTTGACCGTGAAAAAGATTGTTTGCTTATGACCCAAAGACGTTATGACCATAGGGGGTCTATGACTAAAGGTTTATGAGTTACACTGACTTACGATTTAAGACGAACACAAAAAGGGGAAATTTTGAATAACATGTAACTGGATCACTCCAGTCCTAGTGATCAATCATTTTGGAGAAAATATCTTTTACGGTTTCTGAAGAGAAGTTAAAAAAAGAACAGTACACAGAGATAAGTGTTCGGTTTTAAAAGGATGTGATATATTTTGTAACAGCACTGGGTCGATAAATCTGCTGGTGAACTATTAGTCCCCGATGATACGGATCATCAGCTCAGTATAGTCAGTACTTCGGTAATGACATTGTGTCGAGCGGCTGATATTTTACGATATCTTTACGTAAAAAACCCTATATTCTGTTTATCGTTCTATTATTGTTTTTTCCACCTCCTTTAAACAGTTTTTTCGCGTGATGAAAGTAAGCTTCATAACTTCTCCTCACACAAAGTGACGTCGCTGATAATGTCTGCTCACGTCTCAAAGCCGTGATACAAGAATTACGGAGCGACTAAGCAGGGTGATATAAGCGAAGGGAAGAACAAAAAATACATTCACGGGCTCCATTAGCTACATCACCGTAAACATTAGGATGTGATATCCCGTTTGTAATAAGTTTTCTATTAGTACAGCCAAAATTTAAAACCAAAACTTTGTATCTAGTATATGAAAGAATTTAGTAAAGGTTTAAGTAATTTGTGATAACGAAATCTCTAACTTAAAAATCTGTATTCATTGAAATCTATGACGTCACTACAGAC